TGCTGAACCAAGCAGAGATTTCACTGTGCAAGGTCAGAGGAAAGACAGTAATACAATATTTTTGAAACTAAGGATAGCTGATTCCACAGGTTCTCTCTCTCTCTCTACACACACACACACACTAGAGGTCTTGTCCATCAGCATCCACAAATGATCCTAATTGAATGTTGTCTTCATGCTTCCAGGTCATATCCGCAATATCCACTTCCCATTTGATGTTGAGGTAGATACAGCAATTGCAGTTGCTAGCGAAATGGTGGACCAGTTGGATCTGACTGATCAAGATGTTTCAACAATTGCTGCTATGATTGATTCAGAAATTCGGTCCCATATTCCTGGTTGGGCTTCCCACAATGTTTCACCAGAAAATTTAGTTGCAGAGGACTCAGAACCTCCTTTTGAAACTAGGGATGACAGTTCACCTTTGTCAAATGAATCCATTACCTCTCCTGGCAGTCTTGTATTGGAAAGATTGCCTTCAGGTCGTAAGTATTGGTCCGACTCACCCAAGGATGTTGATGGAAACTCTCCAAGCAAGCTTGGACGTTCAAACTTGTCTTGTCATGAGCCTTCTCTAAGTTGTCCAAATGCTGCTCAGTCAAATGGACAGTTGGAGGCTGAGAGCATGTCCGATGATGATGATAACTGTGCAAAACATGGAAGTAACAGATCTGATGATTTGCAGTATGGTAATAGAAACAGCACATCTGTCAAGATCATTGCCGAGAAACTTGATAAACTTCTGGTAATGCAGCAACAAGAGCTAGAGGAACTAAAGAGGAAGCACAGAGTAGCCATATTAGACCTTCTGAATGAAGTGTCTCCAGAAATTCGTCTGGATGTTTTAAATATATGTAAACTGAAAATACCTGTTCATGAAATGCCGTGATTCAGTGCGTGCTTTGTTAGAGATATGGGCTACCCTATAGAATTTGAAGTGCATTCCATTGTACATCTTCAGCTTGACAATGGATGGCGAGTTGGTAATTAAACATACTCTAGAAGGTTTCCTACCAGTCGAATGGATCAAAACATCATCGAGTGCTCAGATCTTTATTACAGAAGACCTGCTGCTTGACATGCCTCGAAAGGCAATGCCTGTGATATCGAGTCATGAGAGACGATAGAGCAGAATCACAGCATGAAAATATAGGTGATGATCAACTCCACATGTGCACTTGCAGCACAATATCTGACATTAATCTCTTAATTGAGCTGCAGGGAGGAGGCAAGGTCTAGCAAGTCATGTATTTTTGTAAAAATTCCTACTTCACCCCAACTCCACGGCTTTATATACTTGTGCATATGTTTCAGTTGATTGAATTACGCCAAAGTCTTGCTGGTTCACAATTTGTTGTTGGGGTGATGGCGTTCGCTTTTTCTCATCAAACTCGTTGAGCTATTTAATGCTATGAAGGGTGTGGATTGAAGCACTGTTTTGCCATTTGTGCCTTAATTTATTTGTTGGTTCTTTTGTGTTTTATCATTCTAGTGAATAAAGTTTGGGGGGCAACACTATAAAATCTAGAAGATTGTTTCTTTTTTATCGTGGTATTTCTCATGTCCAGGATACTTCTATTCAGCTGATCAGAACAGAGATGTCAAGTGATTCTTTCTGGCAGATGACTCTTCCATGTTAGCAATCTTCAGGAAAAAGATAGCTAGCGATGGTTGTATCATGAGATCCAGATTTGAGCTATAGGCTTCCAGCCAATGTTAAAAAAACAAGTTGATTTTTAAAATTTTATGATTTTATAAGTTAATATATATTTATTGTGTTAAATCAGATTAAAATTTAAAAATTAATAAAATCAGTTAACCTTAGTTAAACTTGTTTAAATTTAATAAAATCAGTAAAATCAAACTGATTTTACAAATTTAAAAAAATATATAAAATTTTACATTCTAATATGTACTTTAATTTTTAATTTTTTTATTGTTTTAAATTTATATCTTGCAAAAACTTGTGTAATTTGATATCAAAAACTTAATTTTTACTATAATTATTATAATTTTTTTAATGATACAAGTTATTTGTAGATTTTATTTTTATAAAATTAAAATACCTATTCATTCTTCACAATTTCTTATGTAAATTATTAACATATTAATTGATATATTACTCTGTTTTAGCTAGCAAATATATAGAATAAAAGTTGTAAATTGACATGCTTAAACCTTAAAATAATTAATATTAAATAATTTATTAAAATTTAAAGAAACTCATTTATTGTAAATAATGAAGTCAATAAGTCTATTTATCTAAAAAATAAAGGAATCAAATATGGATTAAAAAAAATTAGACTTTTCTATTGTTTATTTTATTTTATTTTAATTGTATTATATTGTTAATTAAATTATTAGAATATAATTAATTAAAATATTTTACTTATAATTTTATAACTTAAATTTATATTATATATTCTGTCATGTTAAAAAAAAATATTTTTGTGAACCTTGCTTCGAGCTGCCTTTTCCAGATTGAAAAACAAATTTAGGCATTCCTCAGTTAACTTACAAACGTGTTGCAACATGCTGAGATCTTGATACCCGGCAGCACCATTTTGCTTGCATTTTACTTGACACCTAGCAAATCTGGAAAGGAAGCATTGATATCATTGCATCTATAATACGGTGGATCAGAAGTTGGTCTCCCTCGATGCTTTCTGGCTGCACCGTGCCTGATATCTCCTCTTCAGGACATCTTGAGAGAGAGCCAAATAAGGAGCCGAAAGAAAGAAAAGAAAAACTAATTTTTTAGCTTTTCTTCCCTGATTTTGCAGTTCAAAAGGATAGCAGAGTAAGAGGCTAAAATGACTTTCCTGTAAAAAAGAAAGCTATTCCAACATATCCATCAAATAAATCAAAAGCATTCAAATAAATTATTTAAATAGTTTTTCTTTCATCTCCACAACCTTTCCGCTAAATGGCTTTTGCTAATGGAGATGCTTTTACAGATAGCTTAACTTCGGGTCGAATCAATGGTGTTTGAAGCAGAGAATATAACAAATATGAAGTTGACGTGCCTCATGTGTTTGTATATTATCCGGTGTTTTGTGTTACGACTAGATGTTTGTTTCTAACTGGCCATTATTAGATATAACCTTGATATGCAATGAAGATTTTATAGCATATACATCAACCACTCCAGAGACATTTCCCCAAGAACTACCTTGCCTTTGGCTTCCGAAGTTAATGTACTAACGCTATGGGAAAAAATAACTGAAACAACTGATTATGCCTCGATTTCTTTCACAACTCAAGACATCAGCACTAATATCAAGATTCAAGGCAGATCCATGCTTATGTTAAAAAAGAAAAAGAACAACGATTCTCTCCCTGAAAAACCCTTTCGTCAGGAAAATGTAATGGCATGCTTATAAGCTTATTGGTAATATTCTTTCAAGGATTCTGGGCAAGTGCCATTTTCTGAAAAGAATAATGGGCATATGCAGGACGGAAAACAGAACCAAAAGCTTTGGAAACACTACTTCCACTAACAAGAACCATCAATCGCATTCATTTTTCTCAGCAAGATTCAACGGGATGCAGAAAATAGAGCTGATACGAAATACAACAATATTAAGAAGAAAACTAGAACCACAAGAGAATAGGGACGATCCCTCATTTAGGCATCTTCTCATAATCTCACCATTTCTCTCTAAGTCTACCTGTTCAAATAACCCATTGCATTCTATAAAGTGCAAAAGATAATCAAAATGCGCAAAGATTGCCTATTTCCACATTATTTCAATCAAAATCCATTGGCTTCCCACACTAACCAAGCAGACCATCATCATTAATTCTTAATTCTAAATCATTTTTCAAGAACATAAAACAAACAAACACTATATCACGACAACAAACTAGCAAACCCTACAACAAAATTCTGAAGCAACATTTTTAATGAAAAGAAGATCAAATCATCTATAATTAACAAAAAGGGCAGATGCTCCAAATCGTCTGACAGTTAATATCAACTACTAAAAGCAAGCTGTAGTAACATTGTCATAATTAGAAAGGGAAAACAGCAATGTTTCTTCATCTAAAAGCCGATAAATGTTTCTTCATCTAAAAGCCGATAAATGTTTCTTCATCTTCTCATTCTCTCAAGCTTTACTTCTCAGAGGAGTTGGGCCCTCTCTTCTTGCCAAATCCCACAACTGTAATTATAATAAATTCATTATTTTTTGGTTCGGCTACCGGAACAAGAACCTGCAGTTAAATGAATAAATGGGAAAGATAGATTACCTGCTGTGACGAAACGACGGTTGTATTGCATCCTCTTGTGGGCACGGCCACGGGGCTTCTTTTTCTTGTCCTGCTTTGCCACTTTGGGAGTTTGGCCTCTCACCTTACCAGCACGAGCTAGAGAACCATGAACTTTACCTGCAAGTCAGACCCAATGTTAAGAGGGGATAAGATGGAGAAACACATTAAGCAACATCTCACAGAGATGATCAAGATCTAGGGCTTTACCCATGACTGCTGCTGCTGTTTCCCTTCTATGCGGCGAGAAGATGGCTCGACTTCAAGGAGCAGCTAGGGTTTTATCTTCGCAGTCTAACTCTTCTGTTCATTTACGTTAATAAATGGGATTGGTCCGTTCAATGGAAATTGGTTCGAACTGGGCTTTGTCTCCGGCCCATCTGTGTTAGGGACTAAAAAACTATTTTATTATTATTTCTTTTATATTCACATGATTTTCAGTAATTGAATTTTATCATTTTTTGCTGTGAAATAATTAATCTTTGACATAAAAATATTAAAAATTATTTTTTGAAAAAATAAAAATATTTTCTTAATATAAACTCTCAAATAAGAGCCTAAATGTATATAATGTATACTAATTAAAAGAAAATGAAAGCACAAAAATTTCATCAAACAAAAGGAATAATAAAAAACAAGAAAGCATAAACCCTAATTCCACCAAGCACGAGTAAGAGTAAGGAAGTCATGGGTATTTATCATGAGAGAGAGCTAATCCATGAATTAGTTTTAAACTATTTTATCACCAAATTCATTGAATTTCGCTTTTCCAAATTCATTATTGTTTTTCTCTAATTAAAATTAATTTTAGGCAGCATTTGATAAATACTAAGGATATAAAAATTGATGCTTTGTTATAAAATCATACATTATATATGGATGTTTAGGTATCTTTCTATACCTTTTTATTATTATGGTCATTTATCATTATCAAGTTCATTTGAATATCTCCAAATTTATTTGAATTTACATATTTTATGGTTTTTGAGTTTACAAATATTAATGTACATGTGCCTATAAATAGAAATATTGTTAAGAGAATAGTATATACACATATAATTACAAATTCATATGAAATAAAAGTGTTCTCTCTTCATCCCCAAAAATCTTCATTGTTCTTATATATTCTATTTACACTTTATTAAATATATTGTTTTATTATTGTATGCTTTTAATAAATAGTTTTACAAAGTTTTACATCATGTTATTAACATGAATTGCTTCTCGCGTTCATCTTAAAGCAGACAATCATATTTAATAAGACGTAAAAGCATAAATTTCTCTTTATCTTCATCTTGAAGCAAATAATCATATTTGGTTTGTTGATAAGAAGTAAAATATATATTTTTTTCTATTGTTGTTGTATATTCTATAGTTTGTTTTGAGATCAAGTATATAGGATAGAAACCTATGATAAAATCTTAAGATTATTCTCAGGTGTGATAATGCTACGTATTGATCTTTGTTTTATATTTATAGTCTTATAAATATTTTCTGTGTTTTAAAATCTATTTTTATATTCCAAGATATATATAAAACCAAATTTGTAACAATATTGATATTTTTATATGAAATAACAATGACAAACCTTGTCAAACTTGATTTTGTGAGACAAATGGTCGTAATTCATCAAATTCTTATAAATACTCACAGAATGAGGAGAAATAAGAAAGGGCGAAGAATATACACAGCGAAGATACTAAAAAAATAGAAAATTTCTATTATCGATGTGGAATGAAAAGATATTGGTCTTGTACCTATCATACGACCAAACATCTTGTTAATTTATATCAATCCTTATTGAAAGGAAAAGAGAAGAATATCAAGGTAATGATGATATTTATCCTTTGGATACAACACACCTTGACATTGCAAATTTTTTAAAGCAAACTGATGAGAAAGTTAATATTTCCCGTAATGATAATAATTAGTTAATATAACAATGTTAGAATTTTAAATTATGATTATTTTTTCAATGTATTTTCTTTATGCTAGTATATTTCAATGTATTTTGTTTTCTTCCTTTCATGTTGGCTTATTTAATGGAAAATATTGTGTTATCATAATTATGTCTTATTATGAACTTATTATATATTTATTCCTTTTTATGAAGAAACTATGAATTCACATCATGCTGTAAATAAGCTCAATATAAATGGTG